ACTGGGGTGTGCTGCAGGATCTGTTTTTGTTGGCTTCTGGGGGATCTATTGTCAATGAAGGGGATCTATTTTTATGTAGGTGTCTCTTGTTGCTGGGGAGGTCTATTATTGCTGGTGGGGAATCTTTTATTGATAGGGTTCAATTGTTGCTGGACAGGATCTTCTGTTGAGGGAGGGGTCTATTGGCTATTGTTACTGGCTGCTGGGAGATCTGTTGTAGCTTTTTGGGGTCTATTGTTGCTAGGGTGCTATTTTTGTTTCTAGAGGAATCTATTGTTGCTGAGAGGGTCTATTGCTGCTGGCTGGGCGGTCTATTTTTCTACTTTTTTGTTTTTCATTAACAAATTCCATACAAATTATGTAGCACCACAAAATGATACTTGGCTCTGTTTATAGATAGATAGTGCCGCGCTCCTATATATTAGTGTATGTAACTTATACTTCTAAAGTGCTATAGATAATTATCCAAGGCAATGCATAAATCAAAATATATAGCAATCATGAATTACTATGCCTAGTGACTCAAACAGTAAATATAAATTATGATCTTCATGCAGGTGACATTAATGACTAGCAATCCTAAGGTGATGGTGCCTTAAGAGGTACAATGGTATACAGATCAAAAAATGTCTAAAGTAATGCACCTCTATTCTGCTGTGATCACTCTATTCATATTGTGCAGAAACATATAAAATTGTGCACGTGCATATAATAAAGTAAGTAAAAGTATATATAAAGTCTTTCAAAATAAATGTGCAGGTGGATTCTTTGTTCCCTCTCGCCGAGTGCTTAGTGGTCTCCCTATGTGCTCACCTCTATATTTGCCTGAATGAATCCAGGCAAATACGCTTTTTATCCTTCCAGGATAGATGAGATGGGATGATGCTCTTGTTCTAGTTGTCTCAGAAGGTGGATGTGGATTTAAATGGGTTCTCCTGTTCTCTCCTTTATCCCCTTGTGTAGCTGCTCATGAATGGATATACTGACCAGCTCTCTGAGGATCTCCTAATTCCCCTCCTGGGGTTGTTTCCTTCTCCAATCCTCCTTCTACCAGCTCAAGGGGTGTTGGTCAATTGAAAAAAGGAAGAAAACAGACCATGGTGCCTTATCTTTGTGCATAAAAGGAGATTTATTGCTGCCAGTTAAGGTGTTGCACAATAGTATACAGCTCTGTTGTAATCCAGGTCAGCATAGATGACAATCTACAGGTATACTCTGCCTCTGCCTCTGCAGTGCTGTCTGCCTGCGTCTGTACTCGGATCATCGAGCCTCTCCAGGGAAATGATTTCCCCCTGATGAAGTCACGTGACCCTGTGACGCAACGCGTAGGGGAGGGGCTCTGACGTCACGACGTTGCACTGGAGAGGCTCGGTGATCCGAGTACAGATGCAGGCAGACAGCACTGCAGAGGCAGAGGCAGAGTATACCTGTAGATTGTCATCTATGCTGACCTGGATTACAAACAGAGCTGTATACTATTGTGCAACACCTTAACTGGCAGCAATAAATCTCCTTTTATGCACAAAGATAAGGCACCATGGTCTGTTTTCTTCCCTTTTTCAATTGACCAACACCCCTTGAGCTGGTATAAGGAGGATTGGAGAAGGAAACAACCCCAGGAGGGGAATTAGGAGATCCTCAGAGAGCTGGTCAGTATATCCATTCATGAGCAGCTACACAAGGGGATAAAGGAGAGAACAGGAGAACCCATTTAAATCCACATCCACCTTCTGAGACAACTAGAACAAGAGCATCATCCCATCTCATCTATCCTGGAAGGATAAAAAGCGTATTTGCCTGGATTCATTCAGGCAAATATAGAGGTGAGCACATAGGGAGACCACTAAGCACTCGGCGAGAGGGAACAAAGAATCCACCTGCACATTTATTTTGAAAGACTTTATATATACTTTTACTTACTTTATTATATGCACGTGCACAATTTTATATGTTTCTGCACAATATGAATAGAGTGATCACAGCAGAATAGAGGTGCATTACTTTAGACATTTTTTGATCTGTATACCATTGTACCTCTTAAGGCACCATCACCTTAGGATTGCTAGTCATTAATGTCACCTGCATGAAGATCATAATTTATATTTACTGTTTGAGTCACTAGGCATAGTAATTCATGATTGCTATATATTTTGATTTATGCATTGCCTTGGATAATTATCTATAGCACTTTAGAAGTATAAGTTACATACACTAATATATAGGAGCGCGGCACTATCTATCTATAAATATTATATATACACTAGCAAGTGAGTCAGTGCAAGTGCCAGCGCACCTCACGCATGAAATAAGAAGAATATACTTAAAGTTACTTATTGAACACCTCACTTCATAATAGCTCACAAGCATTCACCATTTATATTAATATACTTGGCTCTGTATTCTCCGAAATGAGTGGTACTAGCAGGTGGGTAGGGAGTGGATCCAAGAGAAGGTGATTCAGAAGGGGGGTGTTCCTGTACTTATTTTTTGAAAAAAGAAAAGGCCTGGTTTCATCCCCTATCAAACCCATTAGATATTGGTTGTTTTTTTTTCAATACCTCGTCAAAGGGGGCACAGATGGGCTATGAACACCCAACGGGGTCTTAACCTTTAATGCTCTATCCAAAAGGAAATAAAAGGTTTAATCTGGTGTTGCCTTTAAAAGAAAAAGCACAAACAATATAAAATCCATACAAATGACATTGCACAGAAGTAGATAAGAAAGCAATAAAGTAAATAACAAGGAAAATTAAGAGAGGAAAATAGTACATTTTCACAAATGTAATGTGAAAGACAGAAAAGGAGACAAAGGTGAAGAGTTAAGAATGAAAATATATCAACATCAACCACTGAGGAGCTCAACAAAAAAATGAATAGGGGAATTGTTGATCAAAATGAAACAAATAACTGGAGATTTACCATGACACCTAATAGTAATAAATGGTATGTACTTTTAAGTAACTGGAGTGAAGCATAAATCTCTGTAGGTTAAAAAGACACTGAAAGTGATATGTGAGGGAGGATACATTAATCATCATTGCAGGAGATAATGGTTGTTTTTCCACATACTCATTTTTCATAATGACTGTGGTATTTAAAAAACATCTCCTAAAGAAAGACACATGATTAATATGGCTAAATATCATAATAATACTGACACCTTTTAAATTAAATACACTGGAATATAGTGATAAGTGTGCATAAGAAATATTTGTCCTAATTGATTAAGCCCTGTTTATCAGTCAAACTCCTGAGTTTAGGAAAGGGCTCACAGGTGTCATTTAGAATGTCTTTAATCCTTTTTGACAGCTATGGTAATTCAAAAGAAGTATCTAAAGTTGAATGTGTTACTAAGAAAGCTTATTATTTTCCCCTCTCATCCCACCAATAGAAGTACCATTTTATGGGTTTATCAGCTACGAGTCCAAATGTGAATTCCGCATGACTGATGTTTGCAGACCCAGCAAAATAACACAGGATTTTACCATAGTAACTATAATACACTACCTGGCTTTTGAACTAAGGTCAGCTGGCTTAGAGGGGCCACAAAGGTAGCTTTTGGATAAGTCAACACCCTCATTGTAAATGGGTGAGGTCACAGCAGCCATAGTTACAATTTGTTTTAGCAGTGATATGGAAAGGGAAGGGAGTGATTCTGATAAAGTGACTAGGGAAAGTTTAGTGTAGGACTTATAGACACTTGCATGTCTGCCAAGGTAGATGTTAACCCATACTGAATGTCATGTAGGTAGAGAACTGCTGTGTAACTTGGAGAATTATGGGGTGGGGGTTCCCTTTTTTAATGTGTATTATACCTTAATGCTACTCATGTCTCTCAGCCTCTTAACAATCTGTCCCTGTCCGCACTACAGTGGAAGCAGACTGCATATGCTTTTTCACAGGTCATAGTTCCTAATTGCTGCTGGCTGCAATAGATCCAATCTATTGAAAGTAAAATTGCCTGCAAAGGGGATTTAAAAGTAAAAGCTGTTGCTTAAAAACACCCCGTTTTCCAATGCTTCTTGGTGGAGCGTACATCCAGCTCATTGCAGGGGTGTATTCTTGCACGATTTTGAATATTCAGCTATCCCAGGGGGGTGGGTGATGTCCCTTACATATTCAGGAAGCATAAAAATCCAGGGCAGAGGTAATTTTTTCTTTTTTAGCAATGACTTTATTGTTAAATTAGAGGAGGGTAAACAAGGGCCAAAGGAGCTACATAGTGCAGTGATACCTTTTGATAAAATAGTACACCTAAAAACAGACAGTACGTAGTGCACTTACAAGTATGGAGACAGAGTAGGCATATGTAAGAAAGCTCAGTCTCAGAGTCCTGTGATGTGTCCAATATTCAGCCTGTGCAGCCACCTCTATGAGCAGAAAATATAATAGAAGGCCACTCTCACTCCTGTCAGCTTGCAAGGCACCTGGTATGTGTTTTCAGAAATACTTCCCCTTTGTCAACCTTTGTGGGTGTTTTGACTTTGGAGGGTGGGAGGCTTTCAATACAACAGATATTCAATTTACATGGAAGGTCCACTTCAAATGGTGACAAAAAGACTATGCCTGGGCAATGTGCATCGGCACAAAAGCTTATAGGTTCCTTTAACCACTAGCCTACAGGGCACTTATACCCCCTTCCTGCCCAGGCCAATTTCCAGCTTTCAGCGCTGTCACACTTTGAATGACAATTGCGCGGTCATGCAACATTGTACCCATATGAAATTTTTATCATTTTTTTAAGACAGATAGAGCTTTCTTTTGGTGGTATTTAATCACCTGTGGGATTTGTATTTTTTCTTAAACAAACCAAAAACCACTGAAAATTTAAAAAAAAAAACCCATTTTTTTCTTAGTTTTTGTTATACAATTTTGTAAATAAGTGATTTTTCTCCTTCATTGATGTGTGCTAATGAGGCTGCAGTGATGGGCACTGATAGGCTGCACTGATGGACACTGATAGGTGGCACTGATGGGCACTGATGGGCACTGGTAGGTTGCACTGATGGGCATTGACAGGCATCACTGATGGGCACTGAAAGGCAGCACTGATACATGACACTGATATATGGCACTGATAGGCTGCGCTGATAGGCAGCACTGACTGGCACTGTTAGGCGGCACTGACTGGCACTGTTAAGCACTGTTGTGTCCGAGGGACACAGCGGACCAGCGATCGCCGCGCTGCGCGCTCCCTGAGCCGCGCATGCGCAGTGACAATGGTAGGATGTCATATGACGTCCTATCAGAACGAGAGAACCACCTTGCGCCCTTCATTGTACTATAGGGCGGGCGGAAGGTGGTTAATAAATTATGTGACAAGGTTATTTTCAGGGAGGTAATTGTAGGAGACAGTAGCAGAGTCCTGTTGCTTATAACACAAAGGGGCTGGTATACTAAAACTGGAGAGTGCAAAATCTGGTGCAGCTGTGCATGGTAGCTAACTTCAACTTGTTCAATAAGGCAGCTTTGTAAAAAAAAACTGGAACTTGATTGGTGTCTATGCAGAGCTGCACCAGACTTTGCACTCTCCAGGTTTAGTAAATCCACCCCAAGTTGTCCAAACAAGGACCTATATATCAGTATCACCAGCTGTTATTTTCATGAAAGCTAGCAATTAGAATAAAAATAGGCTTTCCAAGTGATATTAGTATATTAAAGCTTTACTGAGATTAATGTTTAGTGCCATTAAACACATGATCTCTTAGATTGTAAGCTCCAAGGAGCAGGGCCCTCCTATCCCTCTTGTATTGAACTGTATTGTCTCCCGTTATATTGTAAAGCGCTGAGCAAACTGTTGGTGCTATATAAATCCTGTATAATAATAATAATAATGATCTTGCCTGGCTGAAAATGCCATAGTGTCAGCCACCTCTCTATCGGAGCCTAGAAAGCTGCCAGTAGCTCTAGCCCAGTGTCGTTCCTGCTCCTTGGGAATACGCACTGCAAGACATCATGACACCATTTAGCTTGGGATGTTGCAAATGCTCTGGGTGCTGTAGAGGGACTGCTGTTTCTAAGAAGCCAGAGAATGAAGCCAGTGAAGAATAGAGGGTACAGGAGATAGTGCCATCACCATCAAATAAGACACATGGCGGTTCTTTCAGATCCAGCGGTGTCCCCATCCTGCTAATTTCTCAACTACCAGAAGTTTGACTCAGTGTGCCATGAAGGATTCGTAGTGTCCTTGCCCATCTTTATTGGACCTTGTGTGTGTCATCATGTGTACCCTGCCACTGACAGCATAGTCCAACTATGGGGTTGTTTTATTAAAGTCAAATAGGCTATGCACTGCAAGTGCACTAAAAGTGCACTTAGAAGAGCACTGAAAGTGCCGTTGCTCTAGATCTGAGGGGAACATGCAAGGAAAATAAAAAAAACAGCATTTTTGCTTGCACATGATTGGATGAAAGAAATCAGCAGAGCTTTACCTCATTTCAGAGCTTCCCTTCGGATTTGAAGCAAATGCACTTGCAGTGCACAGCCTATTTGCCTTTAGTAAATCAACCCCAGTGTTTTCTACATGCTGGTTGAGGGCAGGGATGGCTTTCTGAGCAAAATAATGGCAGTTGGGTACCTACCACTGTAGTTTAGGACAGGCCATAGATTCACAGAAGAGGGATGATTCAATGAGTTGAAATGGGAACAACAGCAAAGCCAGCAGTTTTGCCAAGCTGGCAGTATTAAAAAGCTGACCATAAGGGTGATTTGGGAACAATTTTTTCTTTAATGCTAGAAGCAGATACAAATAGACCCTCACTGGAGAGCTCTGTGGACCAGACCTGGGAATAGCAGTGGCTTCATTACCGTAGTTTAGCACAGGCCATAGCTTCACAGAAGAGGGATGATTCAATGAGTTGAAATGGGAACAACAGCAAAGCCAGCAGTTTTGCCAAGCTGGCAGTATTAAAAAGCTGACCATAAGGGTGATTTGGGAACAATTTTTTCTTTAATGCTAGAAGCAGATACAAATAGACCCTCACTGGAGAGCTCTGTGGACCAGACCTGGAGATAACAGTGGCTTCATTACCGTAGTTTAGCACAGGCCATAGATTCACAGAAGGGGGATGATTCAATGAGTTGAAATGGGAACAACAGCAAAGCCAGCAGTTTTGCCAAACTGGCAGTATTAAAAAGCTGACCATAAGGATGATTTGGGAACAATTTTTTCTTTAATGCTAGAAGCAGATACAAATAGACCCTCACCGGAGAGCTCTGTGGACCAGTCCTGGGGATAGCAGTGGCTTCATTACTGTAGTTTAGCACAGGCCATAGCTTCACAGAAGAGGGATGATTCAATGAATTGAAATGGGAACAACGGCAAAGCCAGCAGTTTTGCCAAGCTGGCAGTATTAAAAAACTGACCATAAGGATGATTTGGGAACATTTTTTTCTTTAATGCTAGAAGCAGATACAAATAGACCCTCACCGGAGAGCTCTGTGGACCAGTCCTGGGGATAGCAGTGGCTTGTACTTGTGGGGCAGTGCTGCCAGATGTATTAGGATGGCTACTGCCTCCAATGCTCTGCAAGCTGTCCCTGCCCATGAACAAAATCCTCCTTCACTGTGGTCCTGCCTTCACCTCAGAACTATTCATCTCTCCAAGCAGTGGCACCCATGAACAGTCTGCCATCTTATAATCCAACGCCTCTGTGCAGTAAGTTACTGCTGTTTGACTGAACCCTACTCTCCCTCTATGGCCATGGTGCTACCTTACCCATCCTCCATAAATGAAAGGAGAAATGCTTGCTCATGACCAATATAATTATATTTCAGCAAATCAGCAATTGTGTGATCAAATAATTCCACTGACTCTTATGGCCAGTTTTTAGGGCTATGATGGGATTGCAGAAGAGGAAAAGGAACAGGGTGCATCAGTAGCAGTTGCACAAGAGAAAGGCCTTCAGCTACTTCATTTCTTCTTGCATGTACTGTAGCTGTACAGAACAATTACACTGCAATAGAAAAGATGTGGCCTGACTTTAGATGGAGCTTGACCACTGCTTTGTCCAGCAGAACCTGCTCACCTGTTATTGTCTCTGTGTCTCACTTCAGTCCTGCCTGACATTTTTTTAATAAAGGAGAATGCCTAAGTTCACTGGCAGATATAGCAGTTGGGGGTGGTGCTTTGGTGTACACAACTTTACAGTCCAAATTTAGGGTGACATGTTACAAACAAAGAACAGCTTTAAGTATATACTGCAGACCCAAAATACAAAACAGGCCTTAGCAAAATAAAATATACCGTCTCAAAATAAACATAACATGGGAAAACACAGTAGTATTCCACACCTAATTTTTGCTGCTAAATGTCCTTCACTCTGGCCGTAGGATTTCTTTCCTCTATTTTCTGCTCCTTTCTCTTCCCCCTGTGCTGTGGAAAGGTTTTTTTTTCATTCAACCAATGGATTGAGGGAAAAAAACTGACCCAAAGCCCATATCCACACATTCTTTGTGGATGAGGGAATTCTCCCACTGTGTCATTGTATTCTGACAGTGGGGAGACTCCCTCTCCATCAGAATACACAGATCAGCACTGCAGTCCATAGGCTGCAGTGCAGATAGAGCCAGCAAATACGGATAGGGAGGTTTAACAGAAGACAATCGGTAGATTGACTTCTATTCAACCACAGTGGCCACACATTATTATTATTATTATTATTATACAGTATTTATAAAGCGCCAATAGTTCGCTCAGCGCTGTACATTACAAAGGGGGACAGAACATGTGACAGAACAATACAATGCAAAACATGAGGGGATTGAGGGCCCTGCTCTTTCGAGCTTACAATCTAGGAGGGAGGGGATAGTGGTACAGGAGGAGATAGCTGTGGGGGATGGAGTGGTAGGAAGAGTGGAGGAGGTCGGCAAGTTAGCAGGGGGTGGGGAAGCTTCCCTGAAGAGATGGGTTTTCAGGGTGCGCCTGAAGGAGAGGAGAGTAGGTGATAATCTGATGGGTTGGGGCAGGGAGTTCCAGAGGATGGGTGACACTCTGGGGAAGTCCTGGAGGCGGGCATGGGAGGAGGAGACCAGGGAACTAGAGAGAAGGAGGTCTTGTGAGGAGCGGAGTGTGCGTGCTGGGTGGTACTTGGATATCAGGTCAGTGATGTAGTTCGGGGCAGTATGGTGGACAGCTTTGTACGTCAGTGTTAGGATTTTGAATTTGATCCGTTGCACAATCGGAAGCCAGTGGAGGGATTGGCAGAGGGGGTGGCGGAAATGGAGCGGTTGGAAAGGTGAATGAGTCTGGCAGCCGTATTCAGGATCGACTGAAGCGGGGATAGCCAGTGGCGAGGCAGGCCAGTGAGGAGGGAGTTGCAGTAGTCGAGTCGTGATATGATGAGGGAGTGGATGAGCTGTTTAGTGTTTTCTGGGGTTAGGAACGTGCGTATTTTGGCAATGTTGCGGAGGTGGAGTCTGCATGAGTTAGTTAAAGATTGGACTTGGGGCTGGAAGGATAGGTTGGAGTCCAGAATGACACCAAGTACTCTGGCCTGCGGGGCGGGGCGGGGCGGGTTTGATGGTGGCGTTGTTGGATGTGATGGAGAAGTCAATGGGGGGTGGTGTCCGGGCTGGGGGGAAGACAAGAAACTCATGGATTGAAATTCAGCTGGTCCCTGTTGAACTGACCAAATTTTGATCCATGTATGGTCAGCTTTATTTCTAAAAATAAAAATAGCCTTTGATAGCCTTTAAATGCTAAGCTCATCTCTTCAAACAGAATTTTACTTTTCATAATAAACAGGAGACTTTTCTAATGTCTTTTCTGTTCAGGCCATCCCAAGGTGATTATCTCTCAGTTACCTAGTCTATGGAAGCCTTGAATCAACACCTCTCTGTTCAAAATTAGACCATCCAGGAAACCTAATATCCCATCATGCATTGCCTTACTGCATCGCAGAATAGGGTGCATTTTACCTCTCTGGACCACGCCACTTCTTTTTCTATTTCCACCCATTTTCCTACCTCTTCCTATAAGCTGACCATACACTATACAATCTGATTGTACACTCTCTTTTTGATCTACCATAAACTATGCAGTGCAAGGGCCTGCCTGATTTGATACAAATTTAATAGATTGTTCAGGTGGGTCCTCCTATTACATAGTTTTGGTAAATCTAAAGGAAATTGTATAAACTTTGTACACTATACAATCTGTACAATCTCTGTACAATTTCCTTTAGATTTTCTCAAACTATATATTAAGAGGACACACCCATTGATCCAACAACTCTGTATCCAATCAGGCAGGCCCTTGCACTGCATAGTTGATGGTAGATCTAAAGGAGATTGTACAATCAGATTGTATAATGTGTGGTGAGCTTTGCAGGATGTCAGGGACACACTTCTCCTGTTTTCAACACTACAGCTCT